TGACCTCCTAGTTCTTAATAATTTTCCTAAGACTAGAAATTCCAATGGTCAATTCAGCCACTTTCTTCTGTGGTTCCAAGATAGTTTCATGGTATATTATATTCCAAGAGGGCTATCATGTAGCTTCATTATTAATATTTTACATTTGTTCAATGTTTCGTAGTTAAAATTTTTTAAATGTTATAATTGATACTTCATTATCTCCTTATCAACCAAGTATGAGGCATAATAAATATTATTTCCCCATTTAAGAAATGTGAAAATGAAACTACCCTAAGTATGCAAGCTATGAAGCAATTTCCCCCAAATCATACAGTTCCTGCATACATTTACATACTAATTATATTGCATATATATCTTTTGTTTATATGACACTTTACAGCTTACAAAGTGATTTCATATTCATGATTTAACTTGATCTTCACAACAATCCTGTCATTATTTCATGCTATACTGGACCAGTATGGTGTAGCTATTAAGAACATAAGTTGTAAAAGCAGACTGCCTGGATTTGAATACTAGTCCATCACTTTCTGGCAGTGTGCTTCCATTTTTCTTTACCTGAAAATTGAAATATAAATGAACCCTACACATCTTCTACCTCCTGGTTCAGTGACTTTTCTGTTACACTATATCACTTTAATTACATTAAATCAATGATACTACTCATTTACTTATTTTATGACGAATTTATTCAGTAAATGCACAAAGCACGTTCTAATCTGAAATCTTTATTTACCATGACCAGGAAGGGGCTACCTGATTTCTAAATGAAGTCACAAGTCATGTGACTTTATTTAGAAATTACTGCAACAGGCTGTGACATGAAGCATCTCAAAAGCAACCAAATATAAATTTTAGCACCTCAAGAAATGTAGCTTTTTAGAAACACAGGGTCCTTGGCAAATTCTCAGATTGTAATGTCATGTTTCTTGGTCATTATTAGAACAGTCATATTTTAACCTGCTGTGAATATAAAGAGATAAAAAGTAAAATAGATGTTTTATTTATACCAATTTAAATGAAGCTCTCAACATGTATCATTTCTATTTTTTATTCACAGATCACAGCATACTGACATAGTTACAATGTAAATTAGTTAAAAAAAATCCCTATCACCATGAAGCTTACATTCTTGTATGATATACACAACCCCCCCACAACTAAATATATAATGTAATAAATTAATAAGAGCTATAAAAAAAATAAAGTACCAGGATAAGGGGATACAGTGATGGGCAGGTGCTATTAGATAAAGTAATTAAGGAAGAGGCCTCTTGGAGGAGGTAACATTTGAGCAGAGCACTGGATAAAGTAAGGAAGTGGGTTATATGGGAAGAACATTCCAGTATAAATGAATGTTTTATGTGTTTGAGGAATGACAGGAAGGCCAGTGTTGCTGGCGAGCTGCAGGTGAAAGGGAGAGGGGTAGGAAATGATGTAGGAGAGGCAGCGAGGGGTCAGATCAGGTAGCCCCTTGCTGGTCATGGTAAAGATTTCAGATTTAATGTTAAATGTGGGGGAATACAGTGGGAGATTGAGAGAAGAGAAGTCAAAGGACCAGGTTCACATTTTCAAGGATCACGCTGGCTTCTGTGTAAACAGACTACAGGGGGCAAGAGTGGAAGCAGAGCCCTATTAGGAGGCCATTTATTCTAGACAGTAAATATTTATTGAGCACCTACTAATAGTAGACATTGTTCTAGGTGCAGAGGATACAGCCGTAAATAGAACAGGCAAAAGTTCCAGCCTTCTAGCCTTACATTCTAGGAGCTATTGCACTAGCCCAGGCAAGAGATGACAGTGACCTGGATTTAGGTGTACCAGTGGAAGTAATGAAAAGGGATCAGATTTAGCATACATTCTGAAGACAAAGCCTACATAATTTGCTGAAAGAGTGAATGTAGAGTGTGACAGAGTAAAGCCAAGAATGACTCCAGTGCTTTTGTCTTATGCCTGTAGGTGATGCCACCTATTCAGACAGGAAACTCAGTAGAAGGAGCAGGTTCTGGGGAAAAATGCAAGAGTTCAGTTTTTTGACATGTTAAATTTGAGATGTACCTTGGACACATAGGTAGAAAAGGTAGTGTAGGCAGCTAAAAATACGATCTAGAGTTAAGGGGAAAGGCAGGGCTAGAGACAGTTTAGGAGTTAAGACAGTATTTAAAGACATAAGAATGGAAGAGTTTCAATCTGATTAGAATCTCCAGGTATTTGAATTTTACAGAAACTGCCCACATGATCAGAATGTGCAGCCAGCAAAACCAATGACCTTAGGAGTGAGAATATAAAGAAAGGAAAAGTCTGAGGAGAGAGCTCTGGAACATCTGAGCATTAACCACATGATCGACAAATATATTCAAATAATCCTTGTACACTTTATGGTGAAGCTAACATATGACATAGAATCTTCACCAACATTACTGAGAATATGCAATTTGAATTTAATTTGTCATCTTCTGAGTAAAATGGTTCACTACCGGACGTTCGTTTTAAAGATTAAGACCGCATAAATGAATCTGAGTCTAATACTTCTTTTGCTACATTTTAACTGAAAAGAATGGAATAGACAAAAGAAAAAAGTCTATGAAATAATAATTTTTTCCAATTGCTAATATTTTTAACTTTCTGAGATAAATATCTAGATCATTAATTTTTTGGATTTTCTGCTTTTCTAATATATGTATCCAAAACTAAAGTTTTTTAAAGCATATTTTATATACTACAAGTTTTATTATATTTCATTTTTTATTATTTCCGTTTAAAATATTTTCCAATTTCTTGTGATTTTCTGACTTAAAGGCTACTTAGGAGTATATTAATATCCCAACACTTGGGGATTTGGATTTTCTGAGTTATCTTTTAGCTATCATTTTCTATGTTATTTTATAATTGATTAATTCTACTATGGTCACAGTAGTTGAAATCTTTTGACATTTGTTGAGATCTGTTCAATGGATCAGCATATTGTCAATTTGGCAAATAATCCATGTGTACCTGAAAACAATATGTATTCTGCAATTTGGGGGTGCGGTGCTCATATATATGTCTATTTTGTTTGTTGGCTTATTTACTTATTTATTTCCTCATTCATTCAATAAATAAGTCAAAACCTTAAAGTGGCTTTTTAAACTTAAGAAGGAAACTAAAAGACGTTCTATAAACTGAAGAAATATAGTGATTATGGAAAATTAAGTTATATCTCCAGGCCTCAAAAGGCACTCTATACTTGGGATTATTCTTCTCAGAACACTGACACCCTGCAACATTTTTCCTTTCCTGGTTATAAAAGGCTGTTTCATCCCATGTTTCACTAAGTTGATAGGAAGCAGTTTACCTGATTTTCATCCTGTACTTCCATGTTGTATTGGTCACCTGTCTGAACTTCCGTGACTTTCTCTCCAAGGAGGAAACCCAGACGAGTCATGAGTGTGTTTGCTGCCTCATCTACAGATGGAGGGGGACCAAGTTCTTGTTCAGCATCACCTATAACAGGAAGACATTGAAACACCTGAATCTATCAAAATAAAATGGCCAGTTTTGCAACTATTTTTACATTCAGTTTGGTCATTTCCTTTGTTTTCACATTCTAAATGCAAAATTACTAGGTCCTTGACTAGAAGCTGATTTTTCCACTGTTACATATTATAATTGATAGTCTACTCAGAATCCTCAATATATTTACTTGAAACCCTTGAATTTGAGAGAATGTTTTTGTAACTCACTGAATAGAAGTTTCCCATTTCTTTGGCAGTTAGCCTTCCAATACAAGTCCTAGTCTTGGGATCTAGTCCTGGCCATAATCACCACCTTCATTCAGGTTCTTTTATCTTTTTTTTTCCTTACAGTTCATGTAAATATCCTTTTTTATTTTAAAATCAGTTCAAACTTACAAAAAAGTTTCAAGAATAGTACAAAGAACATTTTTTTCCTTAACCATTTGAAAATATAGACATGATATCCCATCATGCCCAGACAGTATGCATTTCCTATAAACAAGCAATTCTCTTACATAACCACAGTACTAGCAAAGAAATCAGGAACCTAACATTTTACATTATTATGATCTCATCCACAGACCCCATTTAAGTTTTGATATTTATCCAGTAATGTCATTTCTAGCAAAAAGATCCAATTCAGGATTAAGCAACTGCACTGAGTTCTTAGTTCTCTTTGACTCCTTTAATCTCATCTTAACTTTCATGATCTTGACACTTTTGAAGCTTACAGGCCAGCTATTTTGCACAGTGTCCCTCAATTTGAAGTTATCTCATGACTTAATCCAGGTTATGCATTTTTGGCAGAACTATTGCAAAAGCAATGCTGTGTTAAGTTTGATCACTTGGTTATGGCAGTGTTTGCCAGATATTTCCACTCTAAAATTATACTCTTTCTCTTTGTAATTAATAAGTATGTAATGGGGGGATACTTTGAAAGTATGTGAGTATCCCATTCTTCAACAAACTTTTAAATTAAAAAAAATTTTTGTGATAAAAATACACGTAACAAAATTTGCCATTTTAACCATTTTTAAGTGTACAATTCAGTGGCATTAAGTACGTTCACAATGTTGTGCAACCATCTCCATTTTCAGAACTTTTTAATCATCCCCCAGAGAAACTCTGTATCCACTAAATAAAACTCCCCAATCTCCCCTCCTACTAGCCCTAGTAACCTCTATTCTACTTTCTGTCTCTATGAATTTACTTATTCTAGGTACCCCATATAAGTGGAATCACACAGTATTTGTCCTTTTATGTCTAACTTATCTCACTTTGCAAATTTTCAAGGTTCATCCCATGTTAGATCATGCATCAGAATTTCACTCCTTTTTATGACTGACTCCATTTTATGTACATACCACATTTAGTTTATCTATTCATCTGTCCATCAAGTTGGACACTTGAGCTGTTTCCATCTATTAGATATTATGAATAATGATAGTATGAACATTGGTGTACAAGTAGCAGTCTGAATCTCTCCTCAATAAACTTTTGCCCACTATTTTTAGCATCCATTAATGTTTCTTGGTAGAATTACTATCATGCTTGCCAAACAGTGATATTTTCTAAATCCATCACTCTTCTATAGTTTAGTTTCTTTTCCTTTACCTATCTACCTACCTATCTGAACTCAAAGACTCCATTCTTACTCAATGAGTTATAACCTGTTACTATTATTATTTATTTTGATGCTCAAATTGTCCCAAAGTTGGCCACGTAAGCCCTTTCAATTTGGCTCCTGTAACCTTCTGATATATCCCTGTCATTTTCTGAGCACTTCTTTGCTTTCTGGCATCAGATGTTCCGGGCTCATCTTGTACTTTCCCTGCCCTAGCCCTAGAATCAGTCCTTTTCCCAAGAAGAGTTGGTTTTTTGTTTTTTGGTTTTTTTTTTTAGTGGGGAAAGGTATTTAGAATATCAGGTATGCTCATTGCGATCAGGATGTCACTGCCCCCCAGGTCCACTCCGTCGACAGAGTTAGGCAGTATGCTCATACACTTATATACATATACACACAACTCTATATTCATTTTTATTTGTAAATCCATATACAAACATACACTAAATGTTCACAAAGATGCTCCAATTCCAATTCAATACCATAGGGTTAATTCTAGACTTCCTTTCCAAAGTTATAACTCTGTTCTCCAATAGTGAAAAATCTGGTTCTTGTTTTCCTTATTTAATACTATACTTATTTAATCTATCCCCCTACACGTAACAAATCTCACCGCTGCTCCCTGCCACCCTGCACACAGGTGCACTACTCACTCTGGTTGGGTTCCTACCCTATGCCAGATGGCCCTGAGCTATCATTTCCCCCACAGTCAGGGTCATTTTTTCAAAATAATTCATATACCATAAACTCTATCCTCTTAAAGTATACAGATCAATGGCTTTAGTCTCTTCATAAGTTTATTGAACCATCACCACTTTCTAATTCCAGAATACTTTCATCACTCCAAAAAGAAACCCCATTCAGGTTCATTTTTTTGCCCTGGAATTTAGACCCCTAAAATTCCTGATCTCTGGCATTCATTTTAATCCTGTGCTTCCTGACTGCTACACTCTTCCCATACAATCAGCTTTTAACGCAATTTTCTTTTTTCTTTTTTAAGAGCTCAGCTTTTTATTGAACGTGTTACTAAAGAGGTTTAGTCAAAAAGACCAAAGCCCACGTCATCGTCAGACTCTTCAGATTCTTCTCTCTTTGCTTCCACTTTCTTCTCCTCAGCTGGGGCAGCAGTGGGGGAGGGGGCGGGACCTCCTGCTGGGGCAGGTCCACCTGCCCCCACGTTGCAGATGAGGCTCCCGATGTTGACACTGGCCAAAGCCTTTGCAAACAAGCCTGGCCAGAAAAGTTCAACATTTACACTGGCTGCTTTAATGAGGGCATTGATCTTATCCTCGGTGACTGTCACCTCATTGTCGGACAGGATGAGGGCTGAGTAGATGCAGGTGAGCGCTGAGTCGGAGGCCATGGTGCGGGCGAGTGCTAGACAGGGGCTGCCGGGCATGGTGCAGTCGCCAGATGAAGTGAGGGCCTACACCCCAATGCGGTCTCAGCTTCCTCAGAAGGACCGAGCACCTTAGCGGCAGCTGAGGAAAGCGTAATTTTCTTCCTATTTAGGCTATTTTTCAGTGGTTACCAACTACAGGAATTATTCTTTTTCAAACCTTTTCACTGAGGGATGCTGAATAATGTCAGTATGAGGTCTTTCCTTGGGCTCAATTTATTTCCAAATAGAGAATTTATAGAAATTTATAGACATAAAAAATAGCCAGGGAACTCAAGATGATCTATTTTAAATGTGAGGCAGAACTAATTTACCTAAACTGAATATCTCTTTACATTAACTTGATTCATTTCAACATTTTTTCAGATTTTGTTTTATGTTCAGATGCATTCAGTCTAACCTGTTAACAATCCACAGTAGCACGTATCCTATATAGGATATTACAAAAATCTTTTTTTTTTTTTTTTTGGAGTCAGATATGTCCTTTCACCATAGCAAGCATTAACTAGAGTATCATATGGTTTGATGCTAAAATATAATAGCTTAATTTTTTAGGATATTCAGCATTACACATTAAATCACTCCTAATGGCAAGAAAGTGAGGTTTATGTTCTTATTATTCAATTTAACATTTATCTTAACTTCTCTACTAAAGTCACAAGCTGCAGGTCAGAGGAAGGGACTACAGGTGTATCCTTGTATAGTATTATTGAACTCAAGTGCTCCATCTGTGGAAAATCTATATAGAATTCTCACTGAGGACTTCCCTGGTGGCACAGTGGTTAAGAATCCGCCTGCCACTGCAGGGGATATGGGTTCAAGCCCTGGTCTGGGAAGATCCCAGATGCCATGGAGTAACTAGGCTTGCACACCACAACTACTGAGCCTGCGCTCTAGAACCTGCGAGCCACAACTACTGAGCCCACGAGCCACAATTACTGAGCCCATGTGCCACAACTACTGAAGCCCTCGCGCCTAGAGCCTGTGCTCCGCAACAAGAGAAGCCACCACAATGAGAAGCCCGTGCACCACAATGAAGAGTAGCCCCCGCTCGCCACAACTAGAGAAAGCCCATGCACAGCAACAAAGGCCCAATGCAGACAAAATAAATAATAAATAAATTAATTAATTAAAAAAGAAAGTGCCTAGACTGGCATTCAAACCTAATTCTACCAGCGTTAAAGTCCCATTAAAAAAAAAAAAAAAAAAGAATTCTCATTGAAATTACGCCAGAGTAGAAAAACAGGATCTATATTCCCTTCCCTACTTCTCTGCAAGAGGCAACAAAAACGGATTTCTCTGCCACAGACCAGAAAGATATCCCAGGGGCTTTATTACCTCTATAATGTCCAACATTATAGACAGTTCCTTATCTCTCTACCTCTGCCCAACTATGATACTCTAATATAAAATCTCAGGAAAAAGCTGTGTTACAAATGCATGCAAATGCATCTTCAAAACAAGTACCGTAAATCTAAAAAATAATACAAATGAATGTATATACAAAACAGAAACAGAGTTACAGAGATAGAAAACAAACCTGTGGTTACCAAAGGGGAGAGGGAAGGGTGGAGGGACAAATTAGGGGTATGAGATTAACAGATACAAACTACTATATATAAGTAGATGAGCACCAAGGGTATACTATATAGCACAGGGAATTATATCCATTATCTTGTAATAATCTATAATGGAATATAATCTGCAAAAATACTGAACCATTATGCTGTACACCTGAAGCTTACACAAGACTGTAAATCAACTATACTTCAATTAAAAACACACAAATCCCCTATCCGTCATTCAAGCAAATTTCCACCTTTAAACCCTTGCTATGAAGAATTTTTCATTTCGTTACCACAGTGTGTAGAATTTCTAAACTACTGAGTCAACTATTTAATATTATTAAAATTTATCAAAGTCTACTATGATAACAAGAATATTTATAGCATATGAAATTTGAAGTAAACAGTTTCAGGTTAAAATGCTAAATGTAATTCTGAAGACATCTATAATAAAATGTAAAAGTCCCTGACCTCTTTAAATTTCACAACATACTACTACACTATATACAAATGGCAGGCAAGAGGCTATAATTATATTATTATTTCATGCATTATTTGCAAAAGTCCAAATGTTACTCACTTAAGAAAGAGGCTAGGGGAAAAGAAACCAAACTCTTCCTTTTTCTTCTAGGCTCTTATACTCATGTTACTCTTAGTCTTATTATATCACTCTATTTCTCTTAAGTGCTTTTATTCCCCTAAATATTAGTTTCTTAAAAAGATACTAATATTTATTATTTTTAAGAAGTCCACAAGCTCATATACTTTATATACATTAAAGTATTTATGGGAGAAATGATATAATGACCAGGTTTTGCTGAAATTACTACAGAAAAAAATGGAGAAGATATAGATAAAACAAAGTTGTCAAAATTATTGAAGCTAGGAAATGACTACATAGTGGTGCATTATTTTATTCTCTGTTTGTGAATGTTTGGAACTTGAGGAAAAAACTCTATGCAGGGAAGTTTCTTTTAAATAACTTAGCAGTTCTCAACTGGTGACAATTTTGCCCCCCAGGGAACATTTGGCAATGAGTGGAGATATTTCTGGTTGTCACACTGTAGGGAGCGGTGCTGCTACTGGCATCTAGTAGGTAGAGGCCAGGGACTCTGCCAAACATCCTACAATACACAAGACAGCTCTCCACAATAAAGGATTATCTAGCCCCGAAAGTCATTAAATAGTATTGAGGTTGAGAAACCCTGAAACAGCTAGAATCACCTTATCCTTTAAAATCTGTCAAATTGGATGAACTCTTAACACACAGTCAGTAGGAAAACCAGTGTCCAACCTGTTACTTCCATGGATTCTTAAAATTACTTCAATTTCTAACTTACAATGAATTTTTAGTCTTTGGGATATTTCTTTCCTGAGTGTAGGGTCTGTTTTCTGCACTACTAGATTCTGCTGTAATCTTTTCAGTCTTCAATGAATCTTAGTCTTATGGTGGTGTGTGGACAGGACTTTACTGGGGTTACAGTGTGCTTGTTAAGGGTGGGGGATTATATCATGGCACAGAACAATTAAATGAAACTAAAAAATATGATGTATCTCAAATTTTCAGATTATCTTTTATTAATTATAATAACAGCTAGCACATACGGGGATTAATTATATGCCAGGTACTGTTTCTAAGTACTTTATATACATTAACTCTTTTAATGATCATAACCACCCTATGAGGTAGGCACATATATCCCCTTTTTATGAATAAAGAAAGTGAAGCACAGAGGGATGAGTAACTTACCCAAATTCATAAGCTAATAAATAGCTGATCCAGGAAATCTGGATCTAGAACTCAGGCTCTTAACCCCTAAGCTCTACTGTCATCCTTGATTCCAGTCTCTCACCATTTTGCTGGGCATCACTTCCTACCTCCCCTCTGCCCAGGGTATTTGTTCAAAACTCTCAAAATTCCTCTTAAATCCTCATACCAAATATTTTACCTATCTTTCTGTCTCATCCATGACCATCCAGGCGATGTGAAGAAGGTGTCATCTTCATAACCAAACACGCCCAATTAAGTTATGTCCCTAAACAAAGACAGTACTTTTCTTGAGTGGAATTCTACTGTGACTCCTTTAATAATGATGAATTTGGAGTATGATACACAACAAAACAAGATGGCTGGTAGGTTGTTGGAAAATAATCACCGTGACACTATTATACACAAAATAAATCATATCATTCATACATTATGTTGATTAAAACTCTTGAAATTTATCTTGGCTATTTGGGAGCAGTGTGTTTATGCAATAGGCTTTGCTCCCAGAATACTGAATGAGGAATACAGCACCGTAAAACTAAAGGATTCTTATGCTTGGATATTTTTTCCACAGCAGAAGTGGCTATTGAATGTTTATCAAATGCCTTTTTTAGCCTCTATGAAGAAAACTAGTTGTTTTTATTTCTCTTACAGCTATTAGTATGATGAACTATTTTAATGGATTTTGTAATTTTGAAAAGCTTTCATTAAAGTTAATAGGAATTATTATTAAACATTAAAAAAAATAAAGGATTTAAAATTCACATGGGAATGGAAAGGTCTAGGAATAGTAAAGAAAATGTGAAGAAGAATGACTGCTATTACTTAATATCAAGGTTTAATCTAATGCTAAAGTAATTAAGACAGAGTATGATTGGTACAAGCATAGATAAAATGACCAGGAGAACAGAATAAAGAATCCAGAAACATATCTATACATGTATAATCACCTTATTTGGACAGAGATGCCATTGCAATATTTTAGTAATCAAATGGCATTTTCAATCATTGGTGACGGATCAGTATGTAAGAATAAAAATGAAACCTGTCCCAACCTCATCCCATAAACAAAAATCAATTCCAGGTGGATAAAAGACCCAAATACGAAAGATAATACATTTTCTGGAAGATAGCCTAATAGAATAACTTCATGAACTAGGACTAGGCAAAGATTTCTTAAACAGAACACAAAAAAGAAAAGATGGGTAAGTTTATTAATGAGAAAAACTTCTGTTCACCAAAGACTCCATTAAAACAGTAAAAAGGGGCTTCCCTGGTGGTGCAGTGGTTGAGAGTCCGCCTGCTGATGCAGGGGATACGGGTTCGTGTCCCAGTCTGGGAAGATCCCACATGCCGCGGAGCGCCTGGGCCCGTGAGCCGTGGCCACTGAGCCTGCGCGTCCGGAGCCTGCGCTCCGCAACGGGAGAGGCCACAACAGTGAGAGGCCCGCGTGCCGCAAAAAAACAAAACAAAACAAAACAGTAAAAAGGCAAGCCATAGAGTGGGAAAAATATCTTTAGTTCATACATCCAACAAAGGACTTGTATTTAGAATATACAAAGAACTCGTACAAATCAATAAGAAAAATAAAGACAATACGATTAAAAGATGAACAAAAGAAATTCCACACGGGAATTTACGAAACTCCTGTTTTATACAAAATGTTCAACATTGTACGGAAATGAAAATCAAAACCACAATGAGATACCACTACGTATGTGTAGTGCAGGATAGCACACAAAAGAAACAAACCAAAAACACCTGATAATACGGGGTAAAAGGACAGTTAAATCCTGTTGTACCGGTGTGAATGTAAACTGGTAGCATCAAATCTGGAAAAAAATTTAGACTGGGGACTGAAACCCCATGACCCAGCAAGTCTACTACTAGGTATATACCGAAAGGAAAAGTATATGTAGGGGCATCAAAATAGATGTAACAAACATTCATAGAGTTGTTCATAATAGCCAAAGTTGAAAATGTCCATTAACAGTAGACATACAATGAAATATAACAGCAATGAAAGAGAATCTCACAAACATACTACTAAACAAAAGAAGACAGACTCAAAGAAGTACATACTAAATGAC